TTTCAGAGCCATTCAACAGGGTTCAGAGAATGCTTGGTGCTTATTGCTTCATTAAAGCCAATAGAACAGGGGTTGCCAGCAACATCGAAATGGATGTTGTTGGCAAGGCCATTGAGGAGGCCGAAAAAAACCACTCACTTTCTCTGTCAATTTGCGTCAAAGAACATAAGACGTCTGACACCTACGGCGCAGCAACATTCAAGACGGCGCAAGCCCACTTTGACCTGTGGGTAAGATGGTATAAGGTAAGTGCTTGTCCTTCACATAAGGTTTTCTCATCGGTTTTAAAATGTAAAAAAAAAAACACATGGAGTTTACCTTCTGTCTTTTTTATATTTAATGATATTGTTTTCTATGGCAGCTCCGACAACGAATGGAAACAAACAGCAAGGACAAGCCCACCACATTTTTGGTTACTGTAACTGGCAACAAATACACTTCATTTGATAAGGACATAAATGATATTTTCCCATCAGAAATGTAGCTGCCTCACAAAAATTTCATCTAGAGGAGGAACAGCAAAAAATGTTGTCCTTGGCAATGGCTTACACAAGCACAACAGCAGATCAAAAATACGTGATGCATCAGTCGAAAAACATCATCGACAAGAAAGCTCAGGTCGTAGACCTTGTCTTATTTAACAGAAGAGTTGAGGAAGTGATATGCCCTCGGCTCGCTGAGCTAATTCCGACCGAAGGACTAAGCCTCTTTCCTTCAATAGAAAACTTAAGCTTGCGCTAACGTGGGAGCAGATGATATAGCTTTAGTTTTCAGTAAGTGTGCTTTAAATTAGGTTGCAATGTCATATGAAGGCCTTGCCCAGAGTGGTAGAGCGTAGCAAAACACAGTGGTCAGGGGAGCCATAACAAAGCCAAAAGCGGTCCGCTAAAATGGAACAAAACTTGATTCAATACACGGAAAAAAGTACTTTTGTTGTGGCAGCGAAACATTAGCTATGTCAACGAATATTTTCGCTGGCAGCGGCTTAGCGAACATTATAGCGTGGGCTAGCTAACTCAATATTTTTGGCTGAGCGATTAGCGAAGCCTATTACTCCATCTGGTCGGAAAAAACTTTGTCTGTCTGTCTGTGTGTCTGTGTGTCTGTGTGTCTGTGTGTCTGTGTATCTGTGTGTCTGTGTATCTGTCCGCACGATAACTCGA